ACATCAATTGGTATGCCCAACATGTCATGAACAGACTCTGCTGTTACTTTCAGTTCCTTTCCTTCAATATCTATCACCATTCTCTCAGAATTAAATTTTTGAAGAACATAAAATCCCAGCTTTAGTGGTATATCTGTGATTTTCATTTTTAACAAAGCTCCAAAACCCACAGATCTTACAAATTCCTTTTGTTCTTTGCTCATCCCAATGATTATAGATAGTAATGCCTCTGGTGAACATCTGTTTTTCATTGAGTAAAATTCTTTTACCATTGGTTTTTTTTTTGTCTTTTTTGATTGGTGACTCCTTTTTTTTGCCTTCTTCGATGGATGACTACTTTCAAAATCAGAGTCTGAATCTTGTAGTTGTTGTTTTTCAGGAGTTTTCCTATTTGATGGACTTTTTCTGCTTTGATGCTTTATTTTCTTTGGTACTTTTGTTTCTTTTTATCTGGGAAATGAAAACATATAATATTTGAATAAGTTACTGATATATGAATATGATATATGCTCGTTGATTTAATACTATTTATTTATTACAAAAATATAACTAATATATACAATTTTATTCATATATGAATATATTAGATATGATAGGAATTTTGTACCTTTCACATTTTTCCTCTTCAAATCTGTTTCTATCATAGTTGTGGAGTCTTTATCAAAAATACAAATCTTCTTACCTTCATGAAAGAGTGAGTAGAAGATAAATAATTTTGAAATACATTTTACAAAGAAAATATATTATATTCATAAATAAATATAGAATATTCATTTATAAGATATGATATGTATTTTATACCTTTTTGATTTTTCTGCATTGATCTTGTTTCTCTCATTGTTGGTGAATCTTTATCGGAAATGTTAGTGTTCTTACCTTCATTCAATAGTAAGTAGAAGATAAATGAGTTTGATATTCACGAATGAATATTTGAATAAAACATATGTATTCATATTTTTTTATTCTCATATGAATATGTTTTGTTATATTCATATGTGAATAGAACATATATAAGTCATTCTTGTTGTATTCACATTTGAATAATGTATGTATGGCAGCAAGTTATGTTCTATTCATATGTGAATATAACATACATATTCACGAATGAATATTTGAATAAAACATATGTATTCATATTTTTTTATTCTCATATGAATATGTTTTGTTATATTGACATTTGAATAATGTATATGGTAGCAAGTTATGTTCTACTCATATGTGAATATAACATACATATTCACGAATGAATATTTGAATAAAACATATGTATTCATATTTTTTATTCTCATATGAATATGTTTTGTTATATTCATATGTGAATAGAACATATATCAGTCATTCTTGTTGTATTCACATTTGAATAATGTATGTATGGCAGCAAGTTATGTTCTATTCATATATGAATATAACATACATATTCACGAATGAATATTTGAATAACACATATGTATTCATATTTTTTTATTATCATATTAATATGTTTTGTTATATTCATATGTGAGTAGAACATATATAAGTCATTCTTGTTGTATTCACATTTGAATAATGTATGTATGGCAGCAAGTTATGTTCTATTCATATGTGAATATAACATACATATTCACAAATGAATATTTGAATAAAACATATGTATTCATATTTTTTTTATTCTCATATGAATATGTTTTGTTATATTCACATTTGAATAATGTATGTATGGCATCAAGTCATGTTCTATTCATATATGAATATAACATACATATTCACGAATGAATATTTGACTAAAACATATGTATTCATATTTTTTTATTCTCATATGAATATGTTTTGTTATATTCATATGTGAATAGAACATATATAAGTCATTTTTGTTGTATTCACATTTGAATAATGTATGTATGGCAGCAAGTTATGTTATATTCATATGTGAATATAACATACATATTCACGAATGAATATTTGAATAAAACATATGTATTCATATTTTTTTATTCTCATATGAATATGTTTTGTTATATTCATATATGAATAGAACATATATAAGTCATTCTTGTTGTATTCATATTTGAATAATGTATGTATGGCAGCAAGTTATGTTATATTCACATGTGAATATAACATACATATTCACGAATGAATATTTGAATAAAACATATGTATTCATATTTTTTTATTCTCATATGAATATGTTTTGTTATATTCATATGTGAATAGAACATATATAAGTCATTATTGTTGTATTCATATTTAAATAATGTATGTATGACAACAAGTTATGTTCTATTCATATGTGAATATAACATAGATATTCACGAATGAATATTAGTTTCGCTTGTGTTCAGAAGTAAACAAACATATTTTATTTACCTTTTTGATTTGCTCTTGTTTTTCGTTTATATGTTTTCTTCACTGTTGGTGTTGTTTCTGTAAGGGTAAGTAGTTAATATTAGGAAAACATAAGCGAAATGTGAAGTAACGTTTGTATTTTGACATAATAGTTTTGAATAAAGATGAAAAATGAAGAGATGATGTAAAATCATTTATATATCAACTAATAATGGATGATTCTTACAAAATTTCAAGTAAATAAAGTAATAACGAAGGAGGGTTACGAGAATGAACGAGTATCATAAAAAATTGAAGTAAACTACCTTTTTTGAAGAATGAACAGTGTGAAAACAATGTTTTTAGTTCTAAATCAACTAATAATTATCGAAGATTACGAGAAATTTCAAGTAATCAAGTGATAATTTTAGAAATGATTCGAAATCGTTAAAAACTCGAGAAAAAACGCCGATGGTTACCTTTCATTGTCAAGAGTAAGGAAATGGTCTCGTTCTTGTTTTCATCGGAATACATTTTTCTTCGTTTATGTTATTTGATGCTTCTGCAAATGGTTTTCTTCTTATCGATTCTTCTGCAAATGGTTTTCGTGTTATGGTATACCTTTTTGATTTTTCTGCATTGATCTTGTTTCTCTCATTGTTGGTGAATCTTTATCGGAAATGTTAGTGTTCTTACCTTCATTCAATAGTAAGTAGAAGATAAATGAGTTTGATATTCACGAATGAATATTTGAATAAAACATATGTATTCATATTTTTTTATTCTCATATGAATATGTTTTGTTATATTCATATGTGAATAGAACATATATAAGTCATTCTTGTTGTATTCACATTTGAATAATGTATGTATGGCAGCAAGTTATGTTCTATTCATATGTGAATATAACATACATATTCACGAATGAATATTTGAATAAAACATATGTATTCATATTTTTTTATTCTCATATGAATATGTTTTGTTATATTGACATTTGAATAATGTATATAGCAGCAAGTTATGTTCTATTCATATGTGAATATAACATATATATTCACGAATGAATATTTGAATAAAACATATGTATTCATATTTTTTTATTCTCATATGAATATGTTTTGTTATATTCATATGTGAATAGAACATATATCAGTCATTCTTGTTGTATTCACATTTGAATAATGTATGTATGGCAGCAAGTTATGTTCTATTCATATATGAATATAACATACATATTCACGAATGAATATTTGAATAAAACATATGTATTCATATTTTTTTATTATCATATGAATATGTTTTGTTATATTCATATGTGAGTAGAACATATATAAGTCATTCTTGTTGTATTCACATTTAAATAATGTATGTATGGCAGCAAGTTATGTTCTATTCATATGTGAATATAACATACATATTCACGAATGAATATTTGAATAAAACATATGTATTCATATTTTTTTTATTCTCATATGAATATGTTTTGTTATATTAACATTTGAATAATGTATGTATGGCAGCAAGTCATGTTCTATTCATATATGAATATAACATACATATTCACGAATGAATATTTGACTAAAACATATGTATTCATATTTTTTTTATTCTCATATGAATATGTTTTGTTATATTCATATATGAATAGAACATATATAAGTCATTTTTGTTGTATTCACATTTGAATAATGTATGTATGGCAGCAAGTTATGTTATATTCATATGTGAATATAACATACATATTCACGAATGAATATTTGAATAAAACATATGTATTCATATTTTTTTATTCTCATATGAATATGTTTTGTTATATTCATATATGAATAGAACATATATAAGTCATTCTTGTTGTATTCATATTTGAATAATGTATGTATGGCAGCAAGTTATGTTATATTCACATGTGAATATAACATACATATTCAGGAATGAATATTTGAATAAAACATATGTATTCATATTTTTTTATTCTCATATGAATATGCTTTGTTATATTCATATGTGAATAGAACATATATAAGTCATTATTGTTGTAGTCATATTTAAATAATGTATGTATGACAACAAGTTATGTTCTATTCATATGTGAATATAACATACATATTCACGAATGAATATTAGTTTCGCTTGTGTTCAGAAGTAAACAAAACATATTTTATTTACCTTTTTGATTTGCTCTTGTTTTTCGTTTATATGTTTTCTTCACTGTTGGTGTTGTTTCTGTAAGGTTAAGTAGTTAATATTAGGAAAACATAAGCGAAATGTAAAGTAACGTTTGTATTTTGACAGAATAGTTTTGAATAAAGATGAAAAATGAAGAGATGATGTAAAATCATTTATATATCAACTAATAATGGATGATTCTTACAAAAATTTCAAGTAAATAAAGTAATAACGAAGGAGGGTTACGAGAATGAACGAGTATCATAAAAAATTGAAGTAAACAACCTTTTTTGAAGAATGAACATTGTGAAAAAAATGTTTTTAGTTCTAAATCAACTAATAATTATCGAAGATTACGAGAAATTTCAAGTAATCAAGTGATAATTTTAGAAATGATTCGAAATCGTTAAAAACTCGAGAAAAAACGCCGATGGTTACCTTTCATTGTCAAGAGTAAGGAAATGGTCTCGTTCTTGTTTTCATCGGAAGACATTTTTCTTCGTTTATGTTATTTGATGCTTCTGCAAATGGTTTTCTTCTTATCGATTCTTCTGCAAATGGTTTTCGTGTTATGGTGTATCGAAGAGGGAAATGGTGCTTTTCTGTCGAGATTTGACGTGTTATCAAATTACTCAAGTGCCCTGACGGTTTAATGTTTTTGGATTATTTACATATTTGCCAACGCTCATTAATGTATTTGGATTATTTACAAGTTTGCCACCGTGCGTTTTTTAAACTCATTAAATGATTGGCTGAGAATGGTTCCCCCATTCTCAACCTTTTTTTTTCTCAATTGAACCCTCTCTCTCTCTCTCTCTCTATATATATATATATATATATATATATATATATATATATATATCACCTAAATATGTGCTCAAAAGGCTTACTTCTTTCAATATTTCATATTCTTTTGAATTTGCTTGCAGATTTAGCAATAAAGTTGGTCGAAGCTTATCCTGAATTTGTTGTAAAGAATGATAATGTACTGATGGCAATAGCTAGAACCTTTCCCAGCGGGCTAGACTATGGAGAAACACTTATATATCCCGGTAAGTTTCATTCTAATGTACCAGATATAGTTTCTTTTGTATTCTTTTTTCCCTTTTCTTGACTATCGCTTTTTCTCTTTCAGTTTTGGACAATATTTGTACAGAGATTGTGGAAAGAGCTAAGTGCCTGCTATTAATATTAGTAAGCCCATATTTCGTTTGCAAGCAAATCCTGGAGGACGAAAAAGTGATATATTTTTTTTTTCTACTGGTACTATTCATCATTTTAGGTGGTGAGCTGCTACTAACAAGTCCATACAACTCCAGAATTAAGCATATATTTGAACTCACAAAGTATACTGCATTTTTTTAAATAAACATTTTGTGTTTCTGCAGTTCCACTGCTCATGCTTATATGGATCTATGTGTTGATGCGCCTCCTCATATTGATTGTTTATTTCCCGTTCTCTATGTTTTATTTCAGCTTGTGGAAAGTTGCAGCAATATTCGGTAAGAGCATACAAAGTTAATCAACCCATTACTAATTAAGGTCGAGAGATATAATTTCTAATAGTATAAATTTAATGATTCTACTCCAACTGATTATTCTTGTAACTTGCATCAGTTGCACCAATTAAGCATATCGAGAAGAAAAAGAAGGAATGGGAAAGAGCAAAAGAAGTTCTAAAACTGGTATGTGAAGCAATAGAAAACTCGAAGATCGCTAATGCTCATTCTCACTATTACACCGGACCCATTCTTGAGGCTGCTCGTCAAAATGCTTATGAGGTTGTTGATGAGATTTTATCGAGATCCCCTGAAGCAATTCGGTATAAAGATGAACAAGGGTATGACATTATACAGTTAGCAGTAATACATCGTTCAGAAAAGATTTACAACCTTATTTATCTCATGGAGGAGCGTAAGAGCATTTATGGAACACTCGAAGATTCATCAAAGAACAATATGTTGCACTTGGCTGGAAGATTAGCTCCTTCCCAGAAGCTCAAACGCAGTATAGGTGCAGCATTTCAACTACAAAGAGAGCTTCAATGGCGAAAGGTACTACATCGTAAATAAATTGTAAAGAATTAATATTTTCATTGTATACATAGTAGCATAATCGAGTTAAATTAATTCTGAATAGGAAGTCAAGAAACTCGTATTTCCAGCATACATTACCAAAGAGAACATTTTTAAGGAGACACCAGATATGGTGTTCACACGGGAACATGAGAATTTGGTGAAGGAAGGAGAGAAGTGGATGAAAGCTGTAGCAGAATCATGTAGCATCACCGCAGGACTAATTACCACAATAGTGTTTGCAGCAGCCATTACGGTGCCAGGTGGAATCAATCAAGAATCAGGCATCCCTTTATTTATAGATAACACTGTCTTCACCATCTTTGCTGTAGCAGATGCCATGTCACTATTTGCATCCAGTACAGCATTACTAATGTACTTGTCGATCCTCACCGGACGTTTTTCTGAGCAAGATTTCCTACACCGTTTGCCAAGAAGAATGATTATTGGTCTTGTTACCTTGCTCCTATCTACAACTGCAATGATGGTGGCCTTCGGCACAACATTGTACCTTGTCTTTTGTTATAAAAGACCATGGATGGTTGCTCCAATTTGTGTATTAGCTTTCCTCCCAATTGCAGCGTTTAGTACTCTTCAGATCCCCATTATAGTTGATCTATTTCGGTCGACATATGCACGCATCTTTGGCAAGCCAAGCAACAATAGCAGCATAGGATTTAATCCGAATGATATCCGGTTGTATTTTGACAAGTGAAACTGAGCATGCATCTTGGAATCACGCATTCTCTTTTACTTCCCAAAGGGTAAAACAATCATAACTTGACTATGTTGTTGTGTATGGCGAGATTTATGAATAGGATTCTAGTCTAATAGAAATCTTTCACACATTGCATGTCCTTTCAATTAGTGGTATTGATAATTATAGTAACCCCTGTGAAAATCTTTAAGGATTGTCAATGAAAGGTAAAAACAATTGTTGGGAATCAGATAATTGGCTAAGTGTTGAAGTTGTAATATGGAGCATAATGCATGTCTTAATTATGATTAAATTATATATTTCGGTATATATGTTAATTTTTTTGGCTTTATAAGATATATATATATAATAGATATATATATATTATATATATATATATATCTATATATATATCTAATATATATATAATATATCTATTATGTTGCGCATATTCCACTAAGGTTACCACGACGTGGCGACGACAGATGAGCTAAACCCTAATTTTTGGACTTAAGGTCATATTTAAGGGAAGTGATGTGTAAGGTTTCCCTTACCCTCAACCTCCATCGCCTCCAAAGGATCCTTGTGAAATCCTAATACTTGACTATCTTTTAGGAATTTATGAATGACTTATTCGGTTGGTTTAAAAATGAAAATTTTGTTGAATTAGGGTGTCTAAGCCACTAACTAAATTGGTAATTAATTGCAAATTTTTAGGTTGCCGTCAAAACTAGTAACCGAATAGAATGACTTTTCGAGAGACATGCTAATTGTGACAACCGTCAAATTCTGGTCTAGTCAAAGTCAAATAAAGTCAACAAGTCAAACCCGTCAACTCTACTAACTCTTGTATACTAGGGTTCACTTTATGAAATTACTGTACAACTCACTATTTAATAAGAAATCATCACTTGAAAGTTTGTATTTTTAGATTTCTTGAACCCTAATCGGGGTAAGTGAGGTAGCAAAGTGATAAAACACTATTACATACCCTTTGGGGCTGTGTAAGACTCTTAAACATGGCTAAATGGGGTTTGCGGACCTTGCGTTTCAAAGCCAAACACTCAAAAAGGCCACAAAAGGAATCTTTCCCAAATCTCTCCAAGTATGTCAAATCTCTCCAAAATCTCTCCAAGTATGCCAAATCTCTCCAAGTATCTCAAATTTCTCACAAATCTCTCCAAGTATGTCAAACCTCTCCCAAATCTCTCCAAGTATGCCAAATCTCTCCAAGTATCTCAAATCTCTCCCAAATCTATCCAAGTATGCCAAATCTCTCCAAGTATGTGAAATCTCTCCAAGTATGTCAAATCTCTCCCAAATCTCTGTCAAAACCTCTTTCGATTTTTTTGTAATCATTTGGGGCATCCCGATACTTGACTTGGTGAAAAACCATTCGAAACGGGATGATACCTTGGAAAATAACCTTATAGGGCCGAAGCGTCTCTATTGGGACCAAACCCTCCTTGAGCCGAAGCTCCAAGGACCAAATCCGAAGGCCTCTTAAGGAACCGCAGCCATAGGACCGGAACGGCTGAGGACCGGAACTGCTGAGGACCGAGGCGGATGAAGACCGAAGCTTGAACCGAACCCGAAACTGGAGCACCGCATCTGACCTTCAGCTGCGGTCCCTTCTGATGAGTCCGCCTGCGGTACCTGCTCGGACCGAAGTTCCTCCCCCTCGGTTCCAATGCACCAACCAAACCATCCCTGTGGTTCTAAGGCTGCTAAGACCGGAACCTCGCCCCTGACTGCGGATTTTCCCATTTTCCACCCGGTTTTCGACCACGACTCCGTTTTAAGCCCGTTTTTAATATTTTAACGAGGGATTTTCACCCAACTTATATTTTTGACATATAAGACCCCATATATTCATAAATTAAGCATATTTTTAGGGAAATCCTTATTTAAGAATAAAAATCTATTAAGTTAGATCTTGTGGTGGAGTGTTGACTTTGCCTAGTGTATGACACAAGCAACCACCCACCCATACCCACTCCATGACCAACCATTGTCCTTCCACCATACCTAGTCACTTCGATCGTCCTTCCCATCATTTTCTTCAAGCCATACACTTGAACAAAAGGTAGAATCATTATCTCTCCTCTCTCATTTCTCTCATTCCACCAAAGAACAAACACCTTTCTCTCTCACATCTCTCTCTCTCAAATTCGAGAATTCAAGGGCTGATCATCAAGTTTTCTTTCACTTTTGGTAAGTGATATTATCCTCCTTATGATTATTTCACTTCCTTCTACCCAAATCATAGATTACTTACACAAATTCCATCACATTTGTGTTAGATCTTCGAACCTTCAAGGCATCTTCTAAGTGTTCTTGAGTTGAACACTTCCTTTTCTTCAACATCCATCCACTAAGAACACACAAGGTGAGTTCATACCCCTATCTTTTCATGTTTTTCTTAAGTTTTAAGGGGGGGAATACAAGTAAAACACCAAGAACACAACTAAACTCATTTAACAGCCTTCATCAGAAAAGTTTAACTCCATTCACGGACTGTTTTGGTTAACTTAAACATTTTAGTTCTCAAAATTGTATTAGGTGCAAATAGTTCAGGTTCATACCTTTAAAATTACTACTTGCACATCTCCATACGATCTTTCTACAATTTATGATGATTTTTACAAAACTGCCTATCATTTCAAGAACAAATCCGGACCTTGGATGATTTTTCTATAAATTTTCTAAGAACAGTAATAGAAATGTTAATACTAGAAAAATGCTATCAATTTCATGTGCACATTGTAACTTGTTGAGCAAGGTGTGTATCATTATGTGAATATATGTTTTTACATTATATGTCATTTCGTCTTGGTGTATTGACATACATCAGAAAACAAATGGTTTTACCTTCACGAGTATGGTAATTAATTTATTGTTTAAAAACAAGTTTTACATCCATGTATACAAACATTGATAAACTATGGAAGTATAGTTTATGTTGCTTGTACATTATGAACGATTATAATAAACTATAATAGATATAGTTTATGCTTCATTACATTTCAAACTCTTTATCTAAGGTTTTCTGTTCACGTAAATCTGATAATGAATAAATTTGTGAGACATTCACTTCGCGTTACATCCAAGTAACGAAATCAAAAGTCCTGTAAATTGTAACCAGAGTCACTTGTAGGGAGAACGTGATAGTTGTGTATAGATCTATATTGGGTCTGACAAACCCACACCTGAGCTGCATGCAATAGCTAGACCGGCAGGTCTGGGGTGACAAGTGTCATTTAACTTGCGACGCCTGAAGAACGTCGTATTACGAGGCCGTCTGAGTCATAGTATGGTTATAATAACTCACATGTGGTATTAACAAAACATAAGATTTACGGGTTTTACTTCTAAACGAGTTTATGTCGATTTAAACTTGCATAAATTCCTTTAAGTACGGTAAATACTTGTACACTTTCTTCTTGACTTTTAAGACTACAATGCATTACATAAGAAAATATGGGATCTTCTTGAAAAAACATCATTTTTACAAGAAAAGGATTTTAGCATCACCTTCAAAAGCTTATGAACTCACCAACTTAATTGTTGACATTCTTTCAAAACTACTTGTATTGTCAGGAAATCAGTAAATAGGTAATCAGCCGCTTTTGAGGATGGAACGCTAAGGCGTCAAACATTGTATTTTTGTCAACATAATGTAATTGATTCAGAAACATGTAAACACGTACTATGATGTAACTTTTCAATTATATTTATGTTGGTTGTGTTTACTTTGATTCACTATTAAAATTGTTGTTATGATACTATACATGAAGTCCTCCACCCCCGGACGTTTCCGCCATCCTTGGTTTGGGGGTGTGAGAGATTGGGTATCAAGCAATGTTTATAGTGAACTAAGTATATCGAACCACATAAGATATACAACTATAAACACAATTGGGGACTGAAAGTCTCTGAGTGAACATTTTCAAATGACTATACTTTTAGAAAGTAAACGGTTTC